CCTAAGGGAAGAGGGACACCCCAGTGCCCTAAGGGAAGAGGGACACCCCAGTGCCCTAAGGGAAGAGGGACACCCCAGTGCCCTAAGGGAAGCAGTTGTGTCCAGTATGAAGACAAGGTGGGGAAGCAGCAATGACTTTCAACCCTAGGCTGACAAGCCCCTCGAGGGGTCATTTTCCACTCCACCCTGCCCCTGCCTTACTGTTTTCGGTAGGGGTGCTGATTCCTACTAGGGAGCAGGGATTGGGTCTGTTATGAATGTGGGGCTCTTTTACCCAGTCCAGACCCTCTGTCTCACCTGCTGGGCGGAGGAGAGGAAGGGAAGGTGAGGTCTAGAATAGAGAAGGAAGGTTTGATCTGCATTATCTAAACAAGTTTAGAGACAGGCCAGTTCCCCCCACTCCCAGATCACACGCCACCCTACTCTGTGGTCATGAGGCTTCTTCTGCAAGGAGCCAGCTCCCTCCTGTCCCTGCCACTGTGGTGTTTGAGTCCTCCTGCTTTCTGCCCACAGTATCCAGAAGATTCAGTGTTGTTTGGACAAGATGCACTTCATCTACAAACAGTTCAAGAAATCCAGGATGAGGCCAGGTGAGCTTTGGAGAGAGCTGACAACTAGGAACCTCCCCCCTCTCCCCCCCCCTGTCTACTCAGCTTTGGAGGGACCCAGGATTCCACTGCTCTAAGGCAGGAGAGTCCCTGCCTGTGTGTTGCCTGTAGGCCATGGAAAGGCATTGTACCCACATGTATTGTCATGATTGAAGCTCAGGAGACATGGATACAGCATACAGTAAGCTGAAGTCTGGGTAATGTGGAAAGGGGCCTGAAAGGAAACCCTTTAGTTTCATTTGGTTTGGGTTTTGGGGAGTGTGTGTGTGTGTGTGTGTGTGTGTGTGTGTGTGTACGAATGCATGTGTGTTTACATGTTGTCAAGGCCAGAGATTGATGCTTGGCTTCTTCAGTTGTTCTGTACTTTATATTTTGAGGCAGAGTCTCATATTTGAAGGCAGAGTTCACCGATTTGGCTGAAGTAGTTAGCCAGCTTGCTTTGGGGATCACCCGTCTTTACCTCCCTAGCTCTGGGCTCACGGGTGGCCACAATGCCTGCCCAGCATTTCCATGGGTGCTGCAGATCTGAGCTGTAGTTTCCACACTGTGCAGTAACACTGCATTTACTGAATCATGTCCACAGCCTCTCTACTGTGTCTGTGGATCACCAAAAGAGCCAGTTTATCTGGGAATGAGGATGGGAAGAAATTCTCATCAGAGTTCCTGGACAGGGAGATTCTTTACGTTATTGTTAATGCCCACAAAGACCTTCTGGGCAAGGACAACCCTTCATGGGCTTAGGATTGAAAACCAGCTTGCCTGAGTTGGATGGGGGTGGAGTAGACAGGGTAAGGATTGAACTTGCGAAGGGGTGAGGACAGAGTTGGGTAAGCCTGGGAATGAAAGCCCCAGTTAGCTGGGGAGTTAACCTATTAGAGCACACTCTGCCCCGCCCTATGCTCCAGACATTTCCATATCTGCCTCATTGCTTAATGATCTTCTGGCCCCAGGATAATCTATAAAGCACCGCTAGGAGAAACATAGTATCTAGCACACGTGCAATTTAATTTTTCTCACAGCCAAATTAAAAAGAAAAAACATGCAAAAGTAATTTAATATAGTTTATTCAATTCAGTACATCCTAATGTCATTTCAGCACATACTTAATATAAACAAATCCACTAAAGAGATATTCTATGCTCCTTTTCATGCTAAATCTCCAAAATCCCATGTGTAGTTTATATACTTTTTACCCCTGTCTAGAAGATAAATGTTCAGTAACTATGATTTGTCTTAACACAATTAAAAAACTGTAGTTAGTGGAAAAAACCCATTTTACTCTGCTTCAGCTTTCAATTTTACATTGATTGAGTACATTCAATTAAAAATCCAGGTCTTCAGTCACTATGGCCACGTGTCAGGTCTCCATGGCCACCAGTGTCCTGCGGTCATTAATGAGGACATGTAGATCTACAGAACATGGCCTCTCTCTCCTTGGGGCCTTCGTCTTCCCTTGGAGTCGGGCCTCAGGGGGCATGGGAAAGGCAAGCCCTCCTGTCCTTGGAAGCAGCAGGACCTGGGACTCGGCCCGCTGGCCACTGCTGAGATTTCAGGAGTGTGAGGAAGTTAGGTTTACCTCCACGTTTGCACCTAAGCTTTAAAGCGTCCCCTTGATGTTGGACTCCAACCTAAATAGGACGCCATAAGTCTGAGTTATTTAGTGTTCATAAAAACTCCATGCACTGGCGAGTGTGGTGGTGCACGCCTTTGATCTCAGCACTCAGGAGGCAGAGACAGGTGGATATCTGTGATTTTGAGGCCAGTCTGGTCTACATAGTGAGTTCAAGGCCAGCCAGGGCTATGTAGAAAGAGATCCTGTCTCAAAAACGAACAACAGCAACAATCCTCTATGTGTCACAGTCCTCCTCATCTCATAGTTTAGGAAGTGGAGGCATGGAATGGCTGGTTAGTGCAGTTATTCTGGGTCCAGCTTTTTTAACCATCCCATTTTATAGCTCAAGAGTGTCTGTGTGTACTGCTCTTTCAGAGTATTGTATTAAAATAAGAACAGACGCCGGGCAGTGGTGGCGCACGCCTTTAATCCCAGCACTTGGGAAGCAGAGGCAGGCGGATTTCTGAGTTCGAGGCCAGCCTGGTCTACAGAGTGAGTTCCAGGACACCCAGGGCTACACAGAGAACCCCTTCTCAAAAAAACCAAAAAAAAAAAAAAAAAAAAAAAAAAGAACAGACACAGGCACCTGGAGTGTTGCACGACACCCTTCTGCACCACGTGCTTCAGGGCACTCTCCTGTGATCTGAACAGGCATCCATGTGTGCACACGAGCGTTAGCCAAGCCTACTCATTTGTTCACAGCTGCCTGGTACTAAGAGGAAGGGCTGGAGAGTGTTCAAGTCCCTTGGCCTTCCCTAGTGCAGGCCCAGGAAGAGGTTCCTGCTCCTGGAGTAATGGGATGGGAAAGTGGAAGGGCAAACCAGAATCCTCCTAACCAGTGATTCTCAGCCTTCCTAAGGCTACAACCCTTTAATACAGTCCCTCATGCTGTAGTGACCTCCCGACCATAAAATTATTTTTGTTACCACTTCATAGCTCTAATTTTATGTTAATATCTGTGGTTTCCAATGGTCTTAGGCAACTCCTGTGAAAGGGCAGTCATCCCCGAAGGGGTCAGGATCCACAGGTTGAGAAACTGCTGCTCTTAAGGTTGGAGCGACTGCTACTCAGGAGATCTATTCCTATGAAGCCCAGCAGAGGGCAGTCTCTCCTCATTGCAAGAGCTTTAAGGTCTTCGGCAGTAGACTAGGCAAGGGCACTTCTACCCAAAGTTGTTTTTCTGAAAAATGTTTCTGGGCCAAGAGGGAGAGTTAGAAGGTGGTGGTCTACCTGTGAGTGACTCCAGGGATGGAGCCAACCAGCTGCCAGCTGGAGAGGGCCGAAACTGCGCTAAACATCCTTGAGGACCGTTTCACCCAGCACCTCCACCTGCAACACTTCCCAGGCACACACCCGCCCACCCAGCAGGTTTGCCTCACTCTGGAGCCCATTAGGATTTCTCCTCAGCTCCTTTGTACCTAAATCATAATCAGTCTTTCGGCCACAACAGCAATGTTGTCATAGTTACTTGATGTTCCATCGCCTCATCCCCTCGGGGCTCTCCTAGGCTTGAGATCCCATAAAACAGCCCCCACCCTAGGCTGTGTTCATCTTTTTAACTTGGTTTCCTGACTAGTTGAGTGGTGACGTCATCCTCATCTGTTTCCTTCAGGCCTCAGCTACAATGAGGAGCAGATCCACAAGCTGGATAAGTGAGTGGCCCCGTGGCAGGCAGGTGGGGAGGAGGGCGGAGCTCACCGGGAGGGACTGAGTCTTTATTCTAGGCGGGGAAAGTAGTGAAGCGCTTTAACCCTTGGCCGTGGCTGGGCAAAGGGCATAACTATCTGAGCCAGGTTATACAGGGTCACAGCTGAGACAGAGGTTTCTCACAATCAACCTTGAAGTAACTGGCCTTACTCCCAGCATGAACAAGTTCGTAGGATTTTCTCTGTAATTATTCTCACTGATTGACTTCTTCCCCCTCCCTCTTTTGACCTTTGGCGCAGGCCTGCCTAGCATCTCACAGATAACTGTTTCTTGGACACCCACATCTTCCGTGAGGCCTCCCTGGTCTGGTGGCTATTTGGAGACTTTTTTCCTCCCAGAGCTAGACCACCTCTAACTCCTGTATGCATCCACACAGACACACCCGTGCACACACCTGTACACATGTGCCTTATTAGTACATGTGACTCTGCTGGCTTCTGGGCTTTAGGATCTAAGTGTGTGGTCATCCTCTCTTCCCTGAGAGCTGCCCCTGCTGCAGGCGTAGGGGGCTGGCATTTGTGACGGGTAGCGATGGAAGGGCTAAGTCTGCATACAGGCGGCTCTGGCTGCTCACCTTGGTCCATGGGGTCTCTGTCCTTCCAGGGTAAATTTTAGTCATCTAGCCAAGAGGCTGCTGCAGGTGTTCCAGGAGGAGTGTGTGCAGACGTATCAGGTGTCGCTGGTCACACACGGCAAGCGGATGAGGTAAGCAGCCTGGCCCTACCTCTGAACTCCAGGAGCTTGCTCTGGCCCAGCCCTTCCAGACTGCAGAACATGGCCCTCAGTAAGAGAGGACTTGGTGAGAAGTAAAGAAATGGTGGCCAGCAGAAGGAATGCTGGGTAATTTCTACCAGTGTGCTTATTTGGTTCCCCAGTGTTCACACAGCGAATGTCACCACCTCCCTTTTCAGATGAGGGGACCCAGGCTCAAAGAACTGGTCTCTCCTTAATGTCACAGAACTAATAAGTAGCAGACTGAGGGCTAGAACCCGGGTGAAGCTGCCCCTAAAAAATCTGAATTTCACCTGCCAGGCCCGTCTGCTGTGAGGAGTCTCTTCTCTCTAGGGAGATCACCGTCTCCCCTGGGAAGGAGAAACGGGGCAGGGAAGCAGGCCAGGCAGTGCCCACATCCCTTAAACTGTTCCCAAATTTGGGACTCCTTTTTCTAACAGGCTCACAGCCCCCTAGTGTACTTTTCTGGGGCCCCTGAGAAGGAAGGTCAATTTCCTCGTATGCTATGTGGTCTGTGGGTTTGTCATGGGCTCAGTTCCTCTCACCCTCACTCTAGAATACAATGCCTGGCCACCTCCAACACTCTGATTTGATGGGCCTAGGCAGATCTTAGCTATCAGAAGTTTAAAAGCTATCCCCATAATCCTAATGTGTACTCAGAGTTGAGAGCCCACTGTTGGTTTACTGGACCTGGGACTTGATTTCCTCTGTGTAATGGGGAAATGTCCCTGTGTGCCCTCTGATTAGAGATTAGAATTCTCAAGTCTTGCCCTTACTTTCTTATGGAAATGGAGGCACGGACACTCCTCACATAAGTGCTCTAGTGTGGGCTGTCCTTACTCACAGGAAAGCATTAGCCTGTCTCTCTCAAGCCTTACCTGGCTCTGTGTTTCCTGGTAACCATGGTAACCACGTGAATGACCCAGATACATTCACAGGGGTAGTGTTATTGATCCCTGCCCTGGCTCTGTTGGGATTCTCCCAGTTCCCTCGGCATGTCAAGAAGGAGAGATGGGTGAGCTCAATGCTTAGGACTCCCTGGTGAGCTAACGACAGCTGTGTCCCAACCGTGGCAAGCCATGTCCTGCTCTAATCTCATTTTCTACTTAAGGCAGGTGCAGAAGGCCCAGAACCACCTGCACCTCGTTGACCACTCTGTGGCTACCTGTAACTCAGAAGCCCGGGGAGCGCAGGAAAGCCTGAGCAAGGTGTGAGTGCTTTCCAGGACATTCTAGGGGCTGCTGAGGGGAGGGGCATTTGGATCACTTCCTGCCAGTGGACAGAGCAGCCTTGGCCAAATTCAGGGATGCTCATGAGGGTTGGAGGTCTCTGACTCATAAATGTGCCCTGAGATAGGGCACATTCCTAGTGATTTCAGACTGAGAGTCACTATAAGTCAGGTCTCTGGCTGCTGGGACCCCTGTCTCAGGTTCTAAGCAGCCTCGGAGGTCCCAAAGGCTGCTCCTGAGGCTGTGTGCACTCTCCTTGGCTTTCTGATTCGCTCTCAGTCAAGGCAGCTGTCTAGTTGGCCACAAGGAATACAGAGGGAGAGCTTCTAGAAATTAGCTACCTGTGGCTTCCAGCATGTGATGTGGGCAGCCTCGGAGACTGGCCAGGAACGGCATCTGTCCCAAACTGCGGCTCATAAGAGGTTTAGGTTAGACCCAAAGGGGAACTTGGCAAACTGAATCATTCAGCTCAGTATAGATGAAGGAAAGCAGTTACAGCAGTGGGGACTCCCAGGATGGGAAGGAATAAGATGCTGAAAGCCCCAGTAGCTCTAGGAGTTCTAGGGAGATAATGTTACTGTCCTTCAGCATGTCCCCTAACCAGCCACATGTAAGCTGACAGGTTCTTCCTGAGTAACCCATGGCATCCCTTCAGATCTTTGATCAGCTCCTTCTGGACAGAGCTTCTGAACACAGAGCTGAGGTATCACTACAGCCTGTGTCTCCTCGTCCCAGCCCTGATCCGAAGGGCCTGGTCTTCCAGTAAGTCCTGGAGAGCTGGGGGGAAGGAGGGTGCTGAGGTTAAAACCTCATTGCTTCATCCTGTGCCAGGCCAAAGAGGCTGCTCCATGGCCTCTGCAAGTGGGCTCTGGACCAAGTAACCTGGGTCTCAGCCATCCCTTTCTTGTGCCTTGGACAGCATGCAGGAGCTTTGTAATGATATGAAGCTATTGGCCTTTGATCTCCAGGACAACAACCGACTCATCGAACGGTAAGCATCTGTTGTGTCTGGGGAAGGATGTGCCCATCCTGCTGCCAAGCTGCAGGCTCAGGGCACAGAGTCCCTGGGTGCCCCGTGCAGGGTCCATGACACCTTCTGGTTCTCTAAGCAACCACACTGGAGTGTAAGGCCTCATCCACTAGCAAGGTACCATCTTGAGGAGGTATAGGTTTTACTCACAGGCTTTGAAGCTAGCTAGCCTCAGTACACCAGAGTGGGGCTTAGAGGCAGGTGGGCTTGTGTCAGGGTGGAGATCTGCAAGGAATGTGATCAATGTGACCCCGGGGTCCTCCCAGGTAGCCTTGGACTGGATGCCACTATGTCACTTCCAGAAACCAGGGCACAGACAAACTGACATTTTTGCCCAAAGTCTGTCTCCTGGCCCATGGGCTCCATCCTTCCCACCTGCTTAGAGTGCCCAGGCTGGTGCATCTCCAGATAGCACCCCCTACTGTGGGTGGGGACCAGCAACAGTGCTCAAGCTGTGGGATTCCAAACGTCACAGAAGAAACTGTGGGCATGGACATACACACCAGGATTGTGAACTGCCCACATAACTCAGGGGCAGTCCCACTGTACAAAGCAGTTTGTTTGTTTGTTTGTTTGTTTGATACAGGGTTTCTCTGTGTAGTCCTGGCTGTCCTGGAACTCACTCCGTAGACCAGGCTGGCTTAGAACTCACAGAGATCTGCCTGCCTCTGCCTCCTGAGGGTTGGGATTAAAGACATGCACCACTGTGTCCAGCTTGGCATGGGGTTTTGAAGCCTCAAAACCCATCCCCACTGGCACACCTCCTCCAACAAAGCCATGGGTGCTATCCTCATTCAGACCACTACACCATGCTACTGTGAGACACTAGAATTGGAGTCAGGAGGTAGAACAACCAGGAGCAGATCCTGTGGCTTGTTCTTAGAGTTTTGGAGGGTTCCCAAGCTGGGGAGGCATCCACTCCCAGTTTCATTCCAGCTGAGGAGAATCTGTCTCCTCTGCAGTTTCCGTCCTCTGGAGCAGGAAGTTCTAATCATTAGTGCCAACGTAAATCTTTCTTGCTGTGATTTATAGTCTATGTTCTATTTACAAATATCTCAGGACTTTGTTTTAGTGAATTTGCACTTCCTCATTCAGACCTGCAACCAGTGAGCTCAGTGAACCAATCGGAACCCCTTTCTGGCCTCCCAGAGTGTCTTCACATTAGAACAATGGTGCCTCTAAAAGTACAGGGGTCTGGAGGACTGCTCCCGGGACCCTGAGGGAGGCCCCGGGTAGGGATCTTTTAAGATTCCCAGGGAATCTCGACGTGCAGAGATGAGAAGCAGAAGGTAGTATCTGGGGACAAGGACGATGCAGGAGAGCTGGGGACCTGATGGCTGGTGCTCCTGAGCATTTATGGCTTTGGATACCATCTGCAGGCTTCTTCAACAGGTGTGCCAAGCTGACCTGTGCTTTCCCTTACAGGTTACATAGAGTGCCGTCAGCACCAGATGTCTGAGCTCCGGGGGTACACAAGGCGCTCAGAAGCAATAGAATCATGCACACTGTACCCCTGCACTGTGAGATCAAATTCAGGGCAAGTTCTGGTCCCATCTTACTAGCCTACCTCCCTCTTGGCCATTGGCCAACAAACTAGCATTACTTTGACTACCCATCCTCTTGGGAAGCAGCTAGGGCAGAGACGTCAGGACATCTGGGGCAGTACCACAGGAGAGACCATGCGGCTACCACTGCCTTACTGAGACGCCAAGACTGTTCTTCCTCACCCTGGCCCGGAGGTCTGAACTCCAGTGAGTCTTGGGAAGAAAAGGCTCAGCCTTTTCACACTGCACTTCCCAGGACCAGCAGGCTTCTCCTGTGACTTCTCCTGCTTCTCCAGGATGCTGGATCAGAGGGCTTATTCTTTGTTGTTTCCCATGCTGTTTCCTGAGTCCCATCCCTGGCCACAGGCAACCCACAAATGGCCCCTCTGTGCTTGGTCTGGATACACCTGCATTTGAGAAAGTGGGTAGTTGAAGCCAACTGCTGGTGCTTTGGGGAATCCCCCTTTGCCTTTTCTCTGAGGAACCCTTGGTTCTGAAAAACAGCTGGTCAGTATCAACCAACTGGACAGATGTTGGAACGAAGAGTCCTAAGGAGAGAGCAGGCCTGCACCTTCAGACATGGAATAAATGCACTGTTTTCTGTTTTCCTGCAGTCATGGTACTTAATTGGGAAGGGGTGGAAAAGCCCAGAGGTCAGGGAGGGATGTCTCCAGAGCTTTAGGAAATGGAACAGAAAGCTCATTTCCTGGTCCCTGCCTTTTCCTCAATGGGTTCTGATTTTAGGGAAGATGGCCTCTCCCTAAAAGATCTCCATTTTCCTGCTCTGTCATTTAGGGGCCACATAAGGAGCCTGGATCCTGGGGAGAAAGTTCGACATTTAAAAAAAAACCTACCATCTAATCATCCTCTGCTCTCCCAGCCCTTATCTCTGTTCACAATCCAGGCTCTGTCTAAGATGTTTGAGGACCACTGGAGAACTTTCTTTTATTGAGCCTGGAAGCTAAAGGGAGCACCTGGGTAGAGCACTCCAACTTGTACAAACTGCTTGCAAATTCAGTCTTTCCTCTTCAGTCTTCCTTTAACCAACACTGTAAGGTGACTTACATAGGAGAGGCATATAAACAGGAAGCATCAGAATTGGCCCCAGTCTACCCTGTCTTCACAAAAGTCTCCCCATCCTTGGAGGATGCTCTCCCTAAATAAGCCAGCAGAACCAGGAGTGGAGAAGGCAGAACCCTAAAGGAGATGTCTACAGAAAAAGCAGCCAGAGGTGGGGGTGGGAGGAGCCTAGCTGCTTAGATTAGGCTTGTTCCTTCTTGTGTGCCCTCTGAGCCTTAAGCCCATGAACTCAAGTTCTGTCCCAATGGCCCTAGCACCAAGCCACTTCTAGCTTGCTCTCTGGGAATGAATTCAGGCCAGCTTTTGCTGATCAGTGGCCCAACAGGGAAGTCCCACAGCAGATTTTCCCTGGAAACTCAGAACCCACATGTTTGGTGGAGTGCAGTGAAAGAGCCAGGGGATTCCATGGACCAGATGCAGCTGTTCAGGAGAAACACAATCCAGACAGTCTTATCTCCTGGGCATGCCCTTCTGAAAGCCTTCAGTTGACCAGGATGGCCGAGCTGCTGATGTGGTTTCTAGTTTCATTTCAGAAGAGTTTGAGTGGTCACAGCCCACAACCAGAGGCACCTGTAAGAGCCCCGGGTGTTGGAAGATCCTTTAAATTCCCCCTCTGTTCCCTGCATCAGTTCCTTAAAATGAAAAGAATCCATTCTGTTCATCAGGTAGGGAACAAGAGTGCCAGGCTTCTGCCAGGTACTAAAGCTACCAGAGTGACAAGAACACTCTGACTGTCACTGAGGAGCTAGGTCTGGAGGAAAGCAGACATATGACAGAATTTCATTGTCCCTCAGTAGACGTGATTGGAATGCTCAGGTGTGGCAGGGGTCACCCTCCTTTCAGGGCAGTGCAGCTAGAGCAGGCTGGGAGCCTGTCACTTGGGAGCAGGTGATCCCAAAGCAGAATCTTAGTGAGCATGTGAGAGGCTTGGAACGCACTGGGCAGAAGCACAGGCATGCATTTCTGCGTTCCTAAGCAGAAGTAGGAAGTTTGGAAAGGGAGGAGCCAGCCCCAAAGGTCATGGCTGGGATATGGGCTTTGTTTCAAGGAACCAGACTGGTTTTAAGTCAAGTCCAACTGGTATTTAAAGATATCATTCTACAGTGCCAGTGTGAAGAGTGGAAAGTCACAGAAGGAATAGATCAGAGAATTCTAAAGGGCACAGTGGGCCCAGTACTCCTTCCTCCAGTTAGAGCTCACTGGTGCTGAGGTCCCTGTGCTGGGAAGCAGAGGTGCAGTCGCTACAGGTCTCTGGTTGAGAGATTCAGATCCTTGCAGACACCCGAAAAGATGCCCCGTTGCATTTAGACATATCTAGCATCCTCTGAGAATAGACCCGCTCAAGGTAGGATCCTACCTGGGAGAGTGGAGGGCAGTCCAAGCTCCTTGGGCCAGAGAATAGGCAGCTGGGGGCTGGGCATGAGACTAGAGCTCCCTTCCGTGCCGTGGTGCTATAGGACTGTGTAGACTCCACAGCTTGCGCTTGGAGGCTGGTATCTGGTTAGAAATAAAATTCCAGAGCCCCACCCAGCATCTGACTCTAAGTAGCAGGGGAAGGGTGTGGGCCAGGGATCTGTATTACTGGTGTGTCGTTGGTGAGGCAGAGTTTGTGATGGCTGGGGAATGGCCCCGGACTGGACAGCTGAATCGAGGGAAGCCTGTGTGAGACCTCAATGGCCTGGCGTCCTCCCTCAGCTTCTGCCTTTGGCTCTCACGTGGCCCATCTGTACAGCACTGATTCATGGAAAGCCCTTCTTAAATACTTCAACAATTTCCTGTCTGTTTTTAAAGTTAAGGATTTTGTTGTTTGTTTATTTTGAGATGGAATCTGTATAGCCCAGATCAGACCGTAACTCACCATGTCACCAGGCAGGAAGGATCCTGAGTGAGTGTCTTAGTTGCTGTTCTAGTTTGTTGTGAAGAGACACACGGTGACCACGGCAGCTCTTAAAGGAAAGCATTTAGTTGGGGACTTGCTTACAGTTTCAGAGGGTTAGTCCCTTATCATCATGGTAGGGAGCATGGTGGCAAGCATAATGAAGGAGAGAGAGAGAGAGAGAGAGAGAGAGAGACTGGGTCTGGTGTGGGCTTTTGAGACCTCCAAACCCAGTGACACACCTCCTCCAACTAGGCCACACCTCTTCCAATTAGGCCACACCTCCTAATCCTTTCCAACAAACAGGAGCCTATGGCAGGCCATTCTCACTCAAACCACCACAGTGGGCAACCTTCGTGGGAAAGGTTTGGGCCAGGGTGACCCAATGGTACTTGATGTTCCTAGGCTGACAAGTCAGAATAACTGCCTTTTAGAGCCTTGGTTTTCCATATCTCCCTCACTAGAGGCAGTGTGGGTGGGGGGGAAGTAAAGAGGAAGAAGGGAGGGAAGGAGGGCGAGAGATGTAGAGGGGAGAGAGAGAGAGAGATGGAGAAACACTGAGGGGAGCAGAAATGAGTGCAGCAGAGACAGAAGAAGGGGCGGTGGTGGGCAGAGTGGGGTTGAGGTGGGATAGGGACAGCCCATGATGTCATCCAAGCCCCTCTGTGCTTGTCAATCTGCCCTAACCCCAGGCTGAGGCTAGCTGCCACCATACCAGGCCCAAGAGCTGGCTTAACCTGGAATATGAGTGCTTGCGGCTCGCAGCCTCCCCTTTGGCTGAGGGATAAAAGCTGTGACGAATGTGTCTGGAATATCTGAGTTTTTCCAGTGCAGGGGAAAAAGTGTGTGCGTGCACACAAGCCAACCAGTCTCAAGCTTGGCTGTGGCCCGGGGTGGAAAAATTGCATATTTGACAATATGCAGATGGAAGGGTTGCCATGAACCTGGTGCCCCAGCCTAATGACAAACCTTTTCAGGAGCATACCCACACCCACTTTTGTTCCTAAGTACTGTCAAGGGCAGAGAAAACTCCCTGGGGAGCACAAGCATTTGGAGACATGGTTGGTGGAAGGAGAGAACCCAGCCTGCACCACTACATACTGTCCTATGACCTCTGCTCACACACAAAGTAAGCAAATAATTTTTTAAAGACATGCCTGAGAATGGGTAACGGTGCTTGTCCAGCCCTCCTCTCTGGCCCGGCTGAAGCATTTGTTTTTGTTTTGGTTTGGTTTGGTTTGGTTTTTTGAGACAGGGTTTCTCTGTATAGCCCTGGCTGTCCTGGAACTCACTCTGTAGACCAGGCTGGCCTCGAACTCAGAAGTCCATCTGCGTCTGCCTCCCAAGTGCTGGGATTAAAGGCATGTGCCACCACAGCCTGCCTTTTTTGGTTTTGTTTTGGGTTTTTTTGTTAGGCTGAAGCATTTGGATACAGCAAATTCACGAAAGTGTTCAGCGCCTTGAAGGATTTACTCAAGCTGCTGAGTCCTCTCCTCTTCACCCCTAGCCCTGAAGGTCTCAGGGTGCCTTCCTTCCGTTATCCCTAGAGCATCAGTTTGCAGCTTAAAAAACATGTCTTGGACCAGACATTGGTTATGAGCCTACAACTGAGCTCACTCCACTGAACACCAGCACCTCCTGTTTGCCCTCATGGAAAAGGGGGTCATAAAGAGCAACAAGACCCAGGGAGGGGGGCAAACCAAAGGTCACCTGCAACTCTCATTAGGATGGTGGAGATAGAAGAGATACAGATACAGAGGGGTGACCCTGGGATGACCCTGGAATGCAGGACCTGACAACTGGACCTGACCAAGGAAGTAGAGTGATGTCAAATGGAAAGAACACTAGATAAGGATTCTGACTCGTCACACGGCACCTATATTCAGATCAGTTTTATTCACCAGCCCTTCCCATCCCAGCAGGCAGTGCAAAGGCTGATATCTAGGTTTGAATGGTCTGGAATCCAGGCTAGGAGCTCTGTGCCACTCACAAGCACCTTTGCCTCCGGTTTCTAATCTGTAAAGTAGGAACACTGGCCATTTCGAATTTTACAAGAGACCCTCACAGATCCACTATTCCCTAGCAATGCGAGGTGTCACCACCACCACCACCACCACCACCACCACCCCACTGAAAGTTGCAAGCGAGAACCTGTTCTTGTGGAGACTGAGCCTTCTGTGTAAGTATAGAGTAAGCAGGAAGAGGGAGGCTGAAGGCGTTTCCTCAAATGTTGTAGAAGGATCACAGTTTTACCTTTCACTGCTTCAGACCCATTTTCTGTGGTTCATGTGTCATATTAATCAAAATCTCTAATAAAATATAAGCCAATGGTCAGGCATCATGCTGGTAGGGCCTGAGAATGTTTGAGCACATTTGTATTCATGGATTTGGGGAAATGCTTAGGGACCATTGCATCCAGTTCTCCCTTAGCCTGGAACATTGTTGCTCACAAGACATGGGTTTTTCACCATTTAGTTCTGTTTAGATGAATCTAGGAAAGGGCCTGGCTGTCTCACCCAAAGGTTCTCAACCTGTGGGTCGTGACCCCCAAACCACTGGGGGGGAAAAGTAGATATTTACATTATGACAGTAGAAAAATTCAGTTATGACATAGCAACAAGAATAATTTTGTGTTTGGGGGTCACAGCATTAGGAGG